CATGACAGTTATTTTTTATTGAACAAGATTATTTATGTTATACCATGTGTGCCAACTGTGATATGCAGTTTTATTTACGCACCAGTTTTACGCACAGACGCGTAAAAGTCTGAAATTTACGCACGAGGATTTTCAGACGCTTCTCTGATGTTATGGGTTTATATGAGAAAATTTGTGAGTATTTATTGTTTCTGAACTATTCTAGAATGTTTACCGTAAATCAGTTCATTCATCCGTGCGCGTGAATCCCTCGGTTTCATCCATGCAGGTGCGCGTTACTGGTCTTCTAAAAGCATCCATAAACAAGCTCTCAGACTTTGTTTCACTGGATATCCAAAGTAAACCGTTGCTTTTGCGTGTTTCTGGTTCCCAAACTATATGATCCAAGATGAAACCAACAACAGAAATAAAGTGACTTTTATAGAAACATACGGAGAAAATACTGTTCAAGTCCAGAAAAATTCAAAGTTAGTGTCCAATGGAATTTAATGGAAGTTTATTTATTTATTTAACATTTATTTGCAGGGACCTGGTTTGAAGGAAGAAATTCAGCACAGAGCAGAACGGATCACTGCTCACAAAATTTCTGTTGGGTAAAATCAGACATTGGGCATGTAAAAACATTGTTCAGATCACTTGTGTGTTACTTCGTCAAGTTACTGTTCTGGCACGTTCACTTAGAATCTGATCATATATCTGAGTGTTTTTAACTTGTGATGGAAGTCGAGGCAGTTCAGACACTAAAAATGTTTCTAAGAAATGCTCCATCACCACATTCTTTTTTTTCTGTCAAAATGATTATTTTCAGGTTGTTTTCTATTAACAAAATCTTTCTGGAAGCTTATTAATGTGATATTTAACAGAATACAGTGGAACAGCAATCATGTTTTAAGTCTCCATGTGCAATGTTGCTCTTTATTGTTCTTTTGATGGAAAACGTATTAACACTCCTGCCTATTGAGCCTCAACTCTTTCTAAGGAAATCCCTTTGCTTTTTCATAAAAAGAAAAAAAAAAAAAAAAAAAAAGAAATCAGTAGCTCTCAAAAGATCACTACTTTCCTATAAAATGTGTTGCCTACTCATAACTCTTTACAACAGATTAAAACACTTGATATTCAGACTTTAAACAGGATTGTGTGTTTGGGTTTTCCTTTCTAAAATAATGTGTGTGAAAACCTGGTGATTATTTTTTATCATTATACTTATCCAGAAATGCAAACTTTATACCAAAACATTGCAAACATGACACAAACGTAATCTCGTGATTCTTTCCTGTGAGCAAATTGTTTAGTTTTCACAGAATTTTGATTCGTGTTGTTTGCTTTGCTTGTGGCAGTTTGTACTTTTTAGATTGACCATATTTGGAAGTTTTTCTGTTGGTGGTTTTGTCAATAAAATCTCACAAATCTCATTTTCATGTTTTCCCATCATTGCTATAAACCTCCAAATCACAGTTTATGGTTCGTGTGTCTTAAGATCTCTGTGTTTGGTGTGTGTCTGAAGGTTTTAAAGTTGCAGTGATCTCCAGGGACGCCGGCCGACTCGACAAACTCCGGTCCTTCGTCTCTCCCAACACAAAAGATCGCCTCACCACTGTAGTGGGCAATGTGGGTGAGTGGGGCAACACATCCTGATGATTGTTTGCACCATCCACAACTTTTTTGAGCTAAACAACTGCCTAAATGAGATTCATCCCCCTTTTAATTGGAATACAAATGGTTTAATGTGGATATTTGCATCTTTCTTACTGCAGATTTCCTTCGAAGCTTTCAGAGCCACAAGAAAAATCTCAAGAACAAACAGAAGCCTGTCGTTCATAATATTTGCATGAATTAGAGGAGTCCAATAATGAGGAAAATAAAGATGCCATCAATGACAACACCCAACGTTTATTTTGAAGCTTTAGATTCAGTCAGGACTGTTCAGAAATGAGATTTTCTGTTGAGCAGTTGTTTCCTGTATCTGTACTGAATCAGGCTTCTGTAGAGTAGCATGAAGTCCATCCATTATCTTTACCCACTTCTTCTTTTCCAGAGTGTGGGGGGGTCACTGGTGCCCTCCATATCCAGCAGTCCCTGTGTGAGAGGTGGGGGAAACCTTGGACAAGTCTCCAGTCCATCACAGGGACACTTAGAGACAAACAAAACAATCACTCACTCTCTCACTCACACCTAGGGACAATTTAGAGTTACCAATCAGCCTAACATGCATGTTTTTGGTCTGTGGGAGGAAACCGGAGTACCCGGAGAAAACCCACGCATGCACGGTGAGAACACCCAGAAAGGTCCCCCTGGTAGAGATTTGATCCGGCGACCTGCTTGCTGAGAGGCAACATCTTCACCAACTCCACCACCAAGTCCCACGTTTGTTTATTTAAATAACATAAATCAGCCCACTTACCCGAGACAACCGAATTATACAACAAACATTCAAATTTGATTTCATACAAATGATTTTCACAACAAATGCTTGATACCATCTACCATCACAACTTTGCTGATGTCTTGGTGCAGAGGAGAATCACTTTTCTTTTTTTTTTGTGGTCATATTCGTTTTGTTGACAGATGACTAGAAGAACAGAGGCATGTGATTGGACAGACTCTGAGGTCTTCTATCAGTTAAATGAATGAATATTTTCAGAGAGACAGCAGCCAGAGGGACAGTGTTGGTCTTTGTTTCGAGGCTGAAATAAAAGCATCATCTTTTGGTTGTTTCAGGTTCGGAGGAAGGAGCAGAGGAGGTGAAGCGGACCCTGCTGAAGGAGGTGGGGAAGGTGACCGATATAGTTTCCTCTCTGGGCTTCAGCTGGTGGCAGGGAGGACCCCCACACACCCAGACCCTCAAAGACCTGAACTGGGTTAGCACACTTTTCATCATGTTTTATTTTTTCCTATAATTTCAGTTCTGGATATTACGAGACGTCATAATTGTTGTAGAAAATACAGATGATTTTTATAAAAATTAATTTGTTGTCTGGCATCTCTCCAGGTTATTGAAACGTTACTTTTCAGCACATTTGTGTCCTGGAAGGCTTTTTTCCCTTTGGTGAGGGACAACTCAGATTATACGTACACCTTCATCACAGGTGAGTCTTTTCATCTTCCCTCTCAGATGAAGTGAAATGCTGCTCAGTTCTTCTGCAGTGATACAAGGTTTTGTTTTATTTATTGATTTAGTTGTTATCTCAGTTAACTTTACTCTGGTTGGATTTTCCAGAAGATGCAACCCAAACAAAAAGATGTTTTGTTTATACAAACTGACACGGTCACAAAACATGAATTATCCACAACTCAAAATAACAAAACATCAATGAGAGAAATTACAATTTCTGAGAAAATTCTGCCTAAATGAATTTGATAAAACTAGCAGAAGAAGCTGAGACCAAGTTGAGCTGAGCTGAAAACACAACACTAGCTAAAATCCAAAAATAGAAAAATGCTAGCTAAAAGTAGCAAAACAGCAGCTGGAAGCTAATGATGACAAAACATTAGCTGTAAGCTAAAAGTACCAAAACGTTAGCTAGAAGCTTAAAGCACAAAAATGCTCACTATAAGCTAAAAGTAAAGTAAAGAAAAAAGATAATCAAGCAAATGGTCAGCTCAAAGCTAAAGTAGCAAAGCTAGAATTAGCAGAAGAGTAACCAACTCTAGCAATGGCTAGCTTAAAGCTAAAGTAGCAAAGGTAAAAGTAGCAGAAGGATAACCAACACTAGCAAATGACTAGATAAAACTTCAAGTAGCAAAAGGGTAGCTAAAGGTTGCAAAAAAGTAGATGAAAGCTAAACAGTGGTTATATGCTAAATGCAACCAAACATTAGCTAGATGCGAAAAGGAGCAAAACGCTAGCTATAAATTAAAAGTAGCCAAATGATAGATAGCTAGTAGCTAAAAGTATTATTACTAAAACTACAAGTACCAAAAGGATAGCTGAAAGCTAAATGTAGCAAATTGCAATTAAAAGATAGAAAGTTAAAAAAAAAAATTAAATAGTATAATATTAGCAGATTTCAAAAAGAACAATGTTTTTGATGGAGTTGAAGAGATTTTAACGTGTTTCTGAGAAAATATTTGTAACCTAAGGTAAGCATTTAATTATATATAATTACACACACTAAAATTCAATTCACAGCATATATCGCCTGAAAGTGTTGAAAGTTTTGACTTATGAACATTTAAAATAGCATAAAGTATGTAAAGTATGTAAGTCGTTGGGTTTCAAAAAGTGCACATTGGAACAAAAAAAAAAAAATCAACTTTTCACAGTGAGAAATGCACTTGTTGCTCTCATGGTGGAAATCTTTTTAATATTCGCTCTCGGCGGGTATTTTTATGTTATATCTCATGTTTTTTTGCACCAGGAGGAGCCGGAGAGAAGCTGCTGATGCCCGGGACCGGCTTCCTGACGGTGGGAGCTGCCAGCACCCTGGCTTTCTGCCAGGTCCTACGAGAGGAGTACCCCCAGGTGCCCTGTAAACTCAACCAGGTGAGGGTTTACTGACATGTCAGCAGGACACCAATCACAGACTTAATGAAGCTGACAAGGATTTTACAGTACTGACCTGTTGTTTGACCACGTCTTTTAACAATTTCATGTTTTTTTCTGATCAGTATTTTTGTTGCTGCTAACGTCTGTAGTTCTTTTATGACAAACAAACTACACAGCAAAAACGGCAACGCACTCTGAACAAACTGTATCCACACGGATGCTTTAATGTGTCTAAAATTACGACAAAACAGTGGCGAGCAGCACGCAGGGAAGAAAGACGAAAAGCATTTTCAGCTTCCCCGCAACCTGGAAAAAAGAAAGTCCACACAAAGTCCTGTCCATCTGATTTGAACATTCATGTCCAACGCTGCATTAATGAACAGCTCACTTCATTCCCGTCTCCACAGAGAGCAACCAACGTTTTAGATGTTCAGTCTAGATGCAGCCCTCATTTAGACCAGAGTTTATACTTCTGTATTTAGACCACATTTGGAGCAGCAGATTTAACCAATTTATTCTGCTTCTCCTGAAAGGTAAAGATCAACACTGGTGTGGCGACACCGGAGCGTATGGCACCGGGCTACCTGAACCACCTGGACCTGGGCGAGGCCGTTGCCACCCTCCTGGAAAGAAGAAACGCCTCCCACACCGTTTTCACTGTGAACTGCCCTGCAGACTTAAAGACTATGCAGCTGGGGGGAAACATTTAAACTAAAAAAGCCCTTTTCAGTGCATCTCAAGCTTGTAGTCACAGGAACCACATTTTTCTGCTCTCCTCAGACGCACATTTGAAATATCTTTGGTTAATTTAATCACTGCCATGGGTTGTATAATGTTCTTAACTGATTAGCAAGCATTTTATCTGCATGTGCTGTTGTTAGATATAAACAAGTGCACATTTTGTTCTGTAATACCTTCTTTTTTTTTGTCCCAGAGTAAATATCCACAACAAATATTCACTCCAACATACGGCACAGCCGTTTGTTCCCTCATCCAGCAAAAGTGTTTGGGACAAGTGCAGAATAAACAGAGATGGTGCAGGTTTAGAGGAGACATACATTCATGTGAACATGCAACAAATAGGTCAAATTCTTCACTGTTTTTTTCTTTTGTGCCACAGTTTCAGTGAATGCTTCTACAAACCCAAGGATCCATGTAGATTTTTTACTTTATTAGAAATACAGAGTAACCTGTTGATTGTAACTGCAAGCAAATGCGGCAATGTACAATAAAATGTGTTGAAAATTGAAATAATAAACAGAGAAATCTACTGTATTTTTTCCTGTGCTCTAAATGGTAATACTGTATAATTAATCATTTTAAAGAAGAAATGTCCAAAGTGCATCTCCCGGGCCATCTGCAGCCCTCAGAGGGATTCTGTATGGCCCTCCACTGCAGTTTGAGTTGTATAACTTTGGTTTGCTGGCCTTACGTAAAGGTTGATGCAGATGGACAGACACTTGACAAAATTTTAGGATGAAATTATATATATATATGTATGTACACACACACACACACACACAGTAGTCCCTCTCTACTTCGGGATTTGACTTTCACAGATTCGCTCTTTCGTGGTAAGTAAGATTGGTCAAGACACACAATTGGCTGATTGATGGATGAGCCGCACGATCAGTACGAGATGTTTATTTAAAATAAATTATTTTAAATTATTTAGCACCTGCTGCACCTGTGTGCATCCCACAGATGCAGGGAGAAGCTCCCTCCTGCAGCGTCATGATCTCCTCTCTCTGCCACGCCCACATTTCTCCACGTGCTGCAGCAGCTTTGTGAAGAGTTAACACTTTGCTGTCCTGCTGCACCGATCAACTTTTCAATCGACTTTGGTCCTCCAACTTAAATTTCAAAGTATGCCACATCGTAAAATCATCGTAATCATAAAACTTAAGTGTTTTTTTTTAAAGTTATTTTTTAATTATTTTAGAACTATGTTCAGTTGTTACAGTGTAATTGATCAAGAAGTACATTTCTGCTCCGTGCTGCATCTGCTGCGTGAAGGGTTAACCCTTTGCTGTCCTACTGCACTTCTCTTCTCTTGTACTACTATCTCTACTTGGTGGTTTTTCACGTATCGCGGGGGGCCTGGAACCTAACACCCATGATAAACGAGGGAATACTCTATATATACATGTCTCTGCCACCATTACCGTAGATGATGGCAGAAGAGATGGCACTTTCTACAATAGACTTATTGAAGATATGCAGCATCTTGCTGCCAACACTGAAAGACTTAAGCTTTCTCAAGAAGTACATTCTGCTCTGTCCTTTTCTTGTAGACAACTTCACTGTTGCATCTCCGTCTAGTCTGCTGTCCAGGTGAACCTCAAGGCATTTATACTTCTCCACCACCTCCACTTCAACCATTTTTGGGATTTGGGGTTTTAGTAGAGGTATTACTTGAGCTTTTGAGATGTTAAGCAGCCACTCGCAGTTGTAAAAAATAAAATAAATTTGATGTTATGTTTACGCATCATAACAAATGAACAAAAGTAAAAAGGTTTCAGTAAAAATCCTTCCAGCTGCACAACATCCAATTCCAGAGGAAATAATCATCTAAAAATGGCGACTGAATCCAGAAAAAGAGGAATTAAAGTTTTCAAAAGCAAAATCTCAGAATGAATGTAACGGAGCTACTCCAACATGCAGCCACCTTGAGCAGCGCAATGCATGACTAATTCCATCTTGCTAGAAGCTAGAAATCCAGCTTGTTTCAAAAATACTTTCTAAACTTTTAAGACACTTTAGGACAAAGTGTTATATTCATCCATCCATCCATCCATCCATCCATTATCTTTTACCCGCTTCTTCCTTTTTGGATCGCGGGGGTCACTGGCCCATGTCCAGCTATCACTGTGCGAGAGGCGGGGGACACCCTGGACATGTCTCCAGTCCATCAAAGTGCCACATAGAGACAAACAACCAACCACTCTCTCACTCACACCTAGGGTCAATTTAGAGTTACCAATCAGCCTAGCATGCATGTTCAAAGTGTTATATTCAAACAAAATAAATTTAAAAAGTAACAAAATAGTGTTATCTGTGGACCTGCTTGATAACTAACCTAAAAGCATTTTAGTCTCCTTGTAGAGTTTGGTCAGGAGCAAATTAAACTTTAAATTTTGCATTCAAACACCAATAAAGATTAAACGAATAACCGTTATCGGTGCTGTGTGCTCTCAATAGGATTCTGCAGCACAACGCAACTGCACAAACAATAAGTTGAATACGTCTGTGTAAAACTAACTTCCATTCAGACTACCATCACTTTCGGTCCTGTTTACATGTACCAGCAACACTCCCCTGTACTTGCATTATTTGGGGCAGCATGTCCCGTAAATCAACAGAAGTTTGAAGTATCAGGAAGTGCAACAAGGTCATCACTGATACTTACATAAAATGCAATAAATAAATAAAAAACTAGGTTACAACAATATTGGGGATAAGGAAAGGCAGGAATGAAGAGTATTAGTAGTTTTTTTTAGGGTGGTTTGTGGGGTGGGGTGTCAGACACATTAGATTTTGAGATTTTTTGGTTGACAGCTCAATCAGGCCAGATTATTATTAAACGGCAGAGTAGTACCCAGTGAACCTGACTTCCTCTTCCTCTCATCCAGCTTCATTCCTTTCTCCGTCCCTACAAAAGGAAGAAAACGGTTAAAACAATCCAGACAAACAGCTTCTAACAGGGACAGAAAACGGCCTTTCTTCTTCTTTTTTTTCTCCCTTCTTTTTATTGTGTGGGGGGTACGAGGGGCCACGGGCCTCTAAACAATGTTCAGCTTACTGGGAATCGAGCAGAGAGGAAAAGTGAATGAAAAGGTTAAATGAAATGGGAGAAAATTGTGTGTGTGTGTGGGGGGGATGCTGATGTCTGAGCAGGAGAGCATTAAAAACCTCTAGAGCCCCGGGGTACAGTATCTCAAATATGGCATGAATATTTTGCCAACTTTGACAAGTGTATGTTAAGATAATTATGACACACCAATCACAAAAAAGATAAAGAAAATGCATTTTTGAAGGTTATGGGGCTTTCCAAAGCTTTTCAAGGCTGTAAATGAGGTTAAATCCAAACTTAAAAATCTGATTCTTGAAGAATTATTTTTCTTCTCGAATGTCATGAGTTAGATGATCATTATCCAAATGTTCTTTTAAGTGGAATTTGTCATTCTGCACTAAAACTGTAAATGTTTAGTTGAATATAAACTCCTGAAGTTTTGTGTGTGAGACCCACAATCCCCTGATCCAGTTAGATATTGTTTGTTCTTATTGGTGACTCAGTTAGATGGTGATTGATATTTCTGCTGTTGACATATAAGGATTATTGCAGAACTTATGATCAGGTTTTGACTGAATACCACCCACTCTGTTTCACAGCAGTCTCATTCATTCATTGTATGTGTACTGTCAAATGCAACTTCATAGTTAAAGGACTCGCACAGACACAGATTTTGATAACGTGACAAAATCTATGAAGGAAGAGACACTGGCTGAGGCTGTAAATTTAATACATTTTTATAATTTTGGGACATAAACCCTTCAGAGACTTGCATAGCTGCTCTGCTTCTGATTAAAAACTGGAGTGGTAGAGACCAAAGGGATTAAAATTTTAAACAAGATGGAAAAACGAGCCACGATCTTGGCAGCATGCATCCGTGCCTTTCGTGCGATCTCAACAAAACGCAGCTGAAGTATTCGGTTTCTGGAAAATCGTCACCACAGGTCGACTTGTGGGGCGACCCCACAGGACGGAGGTTTATCTCGGGCAGGAGAGTTTGCTTGAATCCAGTTTATTGTAGGACATCTCTCCATGCCTTCAGACTGACTCTGAGATGTAAAATAGGAAGAAAAAAAAGTAAAAAAACAAAAAGTAAAACCAGTCAACACCATTTCTTAACAAATGCCTGCTCGTTGCTGTGGAAAAGACTGAGATAATCTCAGACAGTGGAGTGGTTTGTGTCATATTCCTGGACAACTTTGAGGTCAAAGAGGCTGAGTCATTTGTCTCCATCCACCGCACCAACAGGACACACAAACGCACTCACTGTAACGCTGCACAATGAAAAAACATCTCAAATCCAGCTGGTTCAAATCGACATTTCATATTCGACAAAGGAATATTTAACACCATCGTACCAAGGTTCAATTCTCTTCACTTTTTTTCTTTTTAAACCCTGACTTCTCTTGGTCAAAAAAGACATGACCTGTCAGGAATCAAGAGCTCTGGAGTGGTACAGTGGCATTTACAGGAGATACCTGGAGGGCGATGTAACATGCGTTAATTTTGCGCCTTTTATGTGATTATCTCAATTTCATAGACTGAGATCCTCTAAGAGATCCAAAACGAGGATGAAATTTCACAACAAGGTTACAAAAGAAGAAAAGCCAGAGAAAACAAAAGCTGGCAGGAGGCTAGAAGACTTGTTTGGTGGTGCAGTGGATTCTAGAGTGTTTTGACTGATCTACAGTGGCACGTTGTTTTTTTCCATTCAAGTTCACAAAGTTCTGCTGCCATTCAGCCACATGTCCATCATGGTGTGGCAAAAGCTCTACAAACTATAACAAGTGAGTGAAACTTGGAAAGAACTAACTCCTCTTTACCGAAGCCCATTTCTGCCACTCTAAAAAAATGATTAAGCTATAAAAACAAAACCAATTCAAAATTATGCTTTATTTTTCTTCCGGCTTTTTCCCTCTTCAGGGGTCTCCACATCGAGTCATTCTCCTCCATCTCACTCTGTCCTCTGCATCCTCTGTCCTCACTC